GCAGGAGAGGTGGTTGGGGAGGAACCTCGTGGGGATCCCTCGTGCAGGGATCTGTCCCCGGGCAGGAGGAGCCACCGCGAGCACCGGGCCGGGCTGGGGACCCGCTGGGGGACCCGGTGTCCTGGGAGCATCGGGAAGAGCGTCGGAGGGAGCGGATCCCGCCCCTGCGCCGCGGGATGCGGCGCCCAGAGCGGCTGCCCGGACGGGTGACGTCCCTGTCGCCGAGCCGCCGGCCACGTCCTCGTTGCAGCCGGACGCCCGTCCTCGTTGCAGCGGCCACGTCCTCGTTGCAGCGGGACCCCCGTCCCGCCGCGGTTCTCTGAGGGGCCGGGGCAGGAGCAGCTTCCAGCCCCCATGCATCCCCTGCAGAGCCACCCATCCTGCTGCATATGCATGAGCAGCGTCTGTCCCACTGCATGCGCGTGTGCAACRCCCGTCCCGCTGCATGCGCATGCACAGTGTCCATCCCGCTGTATGTGCAGCACCCATCCCACTGCATGCACAGCACCCATTCCACTGCATGTGCAGCACCTACCCTGCCCCATGCACATGKGCAGCACCTCTCCTGCTGCATGCACAGGGCCCACCACGTTGCACGTGCATATGCAGTGCCCGCCCCGCTGCACCTGCATGCGTAACGCCCACCCCACTGCATCTGCATGCATAGCACCCATCCCACTGCATCTGCACATGCAACATCCCGCTGCTCCACAATGCAGCGCCTGTCCTGCTGCATGCACACACGCAGCACCCACCCCACTGCATCCACATGCACCGTGCCCATCCTGCTGCATCCACATGCACAGTGCCCATCCTGCTGCATCTGCATGTGCAGCGCCCATCCCGCTCCATGCGCACGTGCAGCGCCCGTCCCATTGCATCTGCACGCGTGCTGCCATGCATCACTGCAGGCTCGCCCKGCCCTCCTGCTCCCCTGCCCGCCTGTCCCCTCCTGCCCCTCTGTCCCTGTCACCGCGCTCGGCCCTCGCGGCCGCCTCGGGCTGCTTTGCTGCGGACAAAGCGCTTGGTTCCTGCACCCTGCAGGCGCCCGCTCCTTGCAGCCTGGGGCCCCCTGCATCCCAGCCACTGCCAGCTGCATCCCTACCAGTGCCAGCTGCATCCCAGCCACTGCCAGCTGCATCCCAGCCACTGCCAGCTGCATCCCTACCAGTGCCAGCTGCATCCCTACCAGTGCCGGCTGCATCCCTGCCCGGGCTGGCTGCATCCCAAATGGTGCCAGGTGCATCCCRAGCAGCACTGGCTGCATCCCAACCAGTGCTGGTCACATCCCTACCAGTGCCGGCTKCATCCCAGTCGGTGCCAGTTGCATCCCAAGCAGCTCTGGCTGCATCCTGAGCAGCATTGGCTGCATCCCAAGCAGCACCAGTTGCATCCCAACCAGTGCCAACTGCATCCCAAGCAGCACTGGCTGCATCCCCACCAGAGCCAAGGGCATCCCAACCAGTGCCGACTGTATCCCAACCAGTTCTGGCTGCATCCTGAGCAGCACCGGCTGCATCCGCACCAGTGCCGGCCGCATCC